TTTTCGTTGAAATACTTAAACCTTTTGTGAGAAGTTACTAATTTATTAAAAATCATGTCTTTTAAAAAATTTACACGTTTTATTGGAACTTACACTTTTTCTGAGAACATAACTTACACCTTTTTTGAAATAAGTTGCATCTTTTCTGAACTGCTTACACCTTTTATGGAAATCTGAATTATATTTTCCTAAAATTTAAACCTTCAATGGGAAGTTACACCATTGTGACATAACTTTCATGTTTTGTGAAAACTACATACATGTTTTTGAAAATATACACCTTGCATGGAAGGAGTATTTGAATAAAATTTATACCTTTTGTTAAAAACATAAACCTTTCTGAATGATTACACCTTTTTGTGGGAATGTTTACACCGTTTCTGAATGGTTACTGCTTTTGTGAATAACTTTTTTCATAAAATTTACACTTTTTATGGGATATTACAACTTTTCTGCCAGCAAAACTTACACCTTTTTAAAAAGTTTACACCATCTATGGAAAATATGTTTTCAGCAAGTTTACACCTTATTTTAAAAGCTTACACCTCTTCTAAAAAGGTACTCCTTTTGTGAAGCAAACATGTTTAAAAAATTTTACACCTTTTAAATAGGAGTTACATCTTTGGTGAAGACAGTTAGACCTTTTTTGAAAATTTACACGTTTTATGGAAAATAAGCTTTTTATAAAATTTGTTAAAAGAAATTATTTGACAAAAGGTATAACCTTTTCAAATATGGTGTATGTTTGTCCGAAGAAGGTGTAAATGACCATAGAAAAGATGTAAGTTTTGTTTTTCACTAAAGGTGTAACTTGAAATAATTAGTGTAAATTTTATGAAAAAAGTTTTTCCACAAAATGTGTAATTTTTCAAGAAGTTGTAAATATTTCCGAGAGAAGGTGTAAATTTTTAGGAAGTGTGTAAAATTTAGGAATAGTTGTAAACTTTGTGAGTTTTTACAAAAGGTACAAGTTCCCAAAGAAGACCAATCATTGAAACTGAATGTTTCGTTTTTACAAAAGATATAAGTTTCCAGAGAAGACCAATCCCAATAAAGCTGAATGTTTCGTTTTTAGAAAAGATCCAAGGTGTAACTTTTATTAAGAAAATTAATGTAAAGATATAAGTTCCAAGGTGTAACTTTTATAAAGAAGATTAATTTATAAATGATGTCAGTTTTCATTAAAAGGTGTAAGTTGTCAGAACAAGTATAAAAGTTTCAAAAATGCTGAAGTGTTCAGAAGAGGTGTAAGTTCCATCTGCCCGTCCGTCTCTCTTCCATCTCGGACCTCTCTCTTTGTTTGTCTTTCTCTCTGCCCGTCTCTCCGTTGTTCCATTTCCCCGTAGCTGTAGGGTTTTACAGAGAAAAATATTTGAGGAGCTTAAGTTCTTGGGAAGGCTAGCCATGGAAGTGGATGCATAAATACTTTTTTTAAGTTGATTTTTGTCGGTGGAGCACAACCGCAAGGGTTAATTGAGCACCACCGTCGGTTCGTCTGATCCGGTTGGTATTTCTTTTATTTCGTGCTGGTACATTATCTGTCTCCTTGTTTGTCTTCTATCATTCGCATATACCTTCACACCCAACCCGAAATCGACCCAATAGGAACTGTTCTGTACTCCATTTTTGTATTTTGTGCTATTCGAATAGGAACTCTTCCCTCTGCTAACCGAAATAGACCCAATAGGAACTGTTCTGTACTCGATTTTTCTATTTTCTCCCTTTCAAATAGGAAGTCTTCCCTCTGCTATCAGTGCTGCAAGTTGAACATAGGTATCATAGTAGTTAGCAACAAGCATAAAAGGTGTTCTGCATTTACATGGCGAACTTGTTAGGTTGGGTTATATATAACGAAAGAAGACTTTAAAAAAAATTTGTGTAATGTTGGCACGGGAAAAATAATTTTTTTTTTCGAGTAGCCAAAAAAGCAAAAATAAGAAACTCGATAAACAAGCAATGACTAATCTTGTTTCCGCAACAGGTAGCACACTCGGTTGAATTCTGCTTTCAATTTTGTAATACTCGGTGATTTTATATTGCCGGAACTTATGTTTAGAAACAATCTGTGGTACACGGACTCTTCAAAATAGATCAAATACCTGTGTCAGACACCTGAGAGTCGGACAAGGGTATGGGATATGTGTCGGATACTTTTCAACGGACACTTCTTATATAATTGTATAAAACACAATTATTATATGTGCAAATTATTGTGAAATTACTATAAATGTGATTTTGACACCGTGAGTTACATATAGTACCATTTTATGGCACATATTAGATTAAAAATATGATATTTTTTCCCCACACCGTGTACCATTGAATGTAGGGTTAAGATTTAATGAGTCAGACCTGTACATACATACCGCACCCGGCACCTGTACCCGAGTCCGTGTAACACAGTAAACAACTCTTTCTTTCAGTGCTGAAGTTCATGCATAGTTGACTGTATTCAACTTAAAACATAGGAAAGCCAATTGAAAGAGTTGAAATGAGGATGACGATTTCCAAATTTTGTAGAGAGCTATTCGTTCCCACACCTTCTGAATCAAGAGTTGAAGCGTTCACTTTCATGGCTAGCCTTTCCAACAACTTAAGCAGTCGGAGATGATGGTTGAAAACCAATACCTTCTCCCCACCTGAGTCGGACAACCCTAACAGATTAAGGAAGAAGTTTGCCTTCAGTCCTTCTCTAATATCCAACTTTTCTAAGATGTGGTCCATCCGGGCATCGTCAATGCCCTCTGTTTCTGTGGTTGACGTGTCTGTAGGTGAAATCTTTAGGAGGGATCTCAACTGTGTGTGCACATACAGTGTGCTCCCATCCCAGGTGATGTTCAACTGCTTAACGAAGTTGTTCAGTTCTTCAACTTCACGAACTGTCGTAAGGATGAGGTGAAGAAATTCAGAAAAGTCAACAAGCCCAGGCAATTCACGAAGAAAATCTCATTTGTAGAAATAGACAACCTTGCCTGTCATTGCATGCAACTTTTGAATGACGGTTACCTTTCTCTTAAAGTTATCATCTTACATATATATACAGCAGTTACATTTGAAGATGAAGGTAGCTGTCATTCATAAGATGCGGGCTGTCTGGACTTTATTGAGCGAGTTCATGAATGCGTACTCTCATTTGTCTTTTTTATGACCTTCGTACAGAATGAGAATGAATGGGTACGTTAGTAATATTTGTTGGCAGACAGTGGCAGTCTTGCTTGTTTCATTGTCACATACAATTGATGAAACTTGTTTGTACGCCCGGAAAAGTATTCTTCTTTGATCTGCCCACTGTCTGAGCACCCGAAGGTAATGGAGCATGGGCCAGGATGCAGCCACCTCGATTCTCTGCAACCAAGTTTCTCAGTAGGAAATTGAAGCCCTAAACTTGATGGGGTTTCATCTAGTTTTTGTGCTTGGGATGAGCACCAATTTCAGTGACAGCAGAATCCTGTCTAGATTGTTTTACCTCGTCATGAAATAGTTCAGTTGCTTCTTTGTCCTTTGTAGTCGGGCCTTCATAACAGTATGTGCGTGTAGTCCTTTAGCCCTAAATGAAAAACAAAATGTAGTCCTTCTTCTTCAATTTTTGGGAATTATGCATTTATCGCTTGTACACATAATCATTTCATTTGTAAGCAGTGTGAACTAAATGCAAAATTTTGATGTGTGTCCTTTCTTTTGTCCATTTCAAAATATGTATATGTGTTGGGAAATTCTACGTTTTGTTGTCTGTGTTTACACAAAATTTTTAGGTTAACAGCCACATATTGCAGCTGTTTGTTTGTGTTCTTGTAAATATTGATTGGAATACTTTGCAGGAATTGTCATCATTGCATCTGATGGATATTGGTCACCTCACACCAACAATGGTAGTTTTCTCCTTCAAGACTTGCTACCAGTTGGTTTCGTACATATGTTTGTAAACAAACGAAATCCATCACCAAGGAATACGCTGAATTTTTTTTGGGATCAATTCTTACAGCAGCCCATGTACTTTTGTGCTTGTGTTATTTTTTTGGCACAAATTTTGAATGGCCTCGCTTTTCATCATCAATTGTGAACTTTTGTTTCAATTACGTCCATTTGATTACAACTCTTCACTGTTTTCTATAAGAAAATATGCATATACGTGGCAACTGTACTTTTTGTTGTAGTCAACTTATAACTTTACTGAACTTACATAATCTCAATCAATTGACATTATAATATTTTTTATAAAAATCACAAAAGGCATTACCAATTTGACCAAAATTGTCTAGGAAATTTAAAATGAAGTGTCAGAATTGAGGGAGTTTAAAGTGCATTGATTCAAATTAGACAACGGACAAAATGTGTACACCACCCCTGTAATTTTCCTTTCAAACTAATTTGTATGATTTGCTCTTTCGTAAAGGAGAAGGAAAAGATTGAAGACAATTGCCGAACAACATATCCAAATGTCTAACACTATCGCTGGCTCTTGTTGAAAATGGCTAGTTGCACCATTCATTTGTTACAGGTACTAGTTGTTCATTTTGACAATCTGGAATTACATTTTTTGTAGTAAAACTACATGCCTTGTCGAAGTTTAGTTTGTGATGTTTGAAATTGGTTTCGTTCCGCATGTCTGAAAATGTTTAAATTGATGTCGATTCAGTCCTGGATGTACGAAAGGTGTCTTATGCGGATTTCGGGGCCAGCTTGACATAAATACTTACATATATATATATATATGTATTCATATTTAAGATTCAGTGATGATAAGCTTCACGATGCTTGCATGCAGCCGGCAACAATTCAAGGAAATGCAAGGGTCAGACAACACTCGACGAAAAATGGTGAGTGTCGAAATCTGTATTCTCTATAATATACTATGATGGAAACACATGGCTGGGTTGCTATCCACACGTTGTATTGAATGGTTGTAGTGGGCTTGTGATTGTTTCACGTTTGTAGGATTGTAGCATGTAATAATGTCACCTTCCTATTGTTTTTGTAAATTTCAATTCGTTCTAAGGATCATTTATTGCTTGTAGGGACATTGTTGTTTCCATGAATCTTCATGGACGGGCATGTGAAGTTGGCACCCGGCGTGACATGCGCACGCTCAAACCAGGGTCGTGGCTATCCGACACTGTAAGTGTTGGCTGCACAAATATGAATCTGCGTTTTTCAGTACCCCTAACTCAGAAACCTTTCTAATCAACTTGCCTTGTGTCTTGCATACAATGTTCCAGCCAATCAACTTGGTGGTGGTGCAATTGACTAATCGACAGAGGGATTTACACAATGACGGGAGGCACACTGATTGGTTCTTTCCCGTATATCTGTCGGTAAGTAAGTGTTTAAAGCTACGTTGTGTATTGTGTATGACATATTTTGACAAATGTTTCCGTCAATGACCTTTACGCATTACACATGCAGACTATGATTCTAAATAAAGATATGCAACCTCTAGACCATGAACATATTGTCACATCATTTTTCGGACATGACAGATACACTGGTGCGATTGATGCATGCTAGAGGGTAATATCAATGTTCATCCCGTTATATTAAAACGAAAATATGAAAGCCATTACATGTTTGCATGGCCTCTAAACAAGGTCTGCCGTTGTGTTTTCGTGTAGATTTACGTGCCTTTCAATTACAGAGGAGTGCATTGGTTGTGCGTTAAAATTGATATGGTGGACCGTGTAGCCTACCTATTCGACTCAGTCCCATCCAACCGACCGAACAAAAGGAAGCTAAATGCAGCTAAAATTTTGGTATGTCCTTCTGGTGCATTTCTGAACACTACAAAAAACTTGAACATCCTTTACGTAAACCAACTTCAACCTTGTGGAACAGGTTGAAACTATGCACGACTTGCTGCAACTACACTTTGGAAATGATTATGTTACAGACGTGCGTACCTTCCACCGCTGCATGTTAGACGAGAGGCCAGTACAACAACTGGACGAGTAATCCACAATCCCTCCCTCACATTAATGTCTAAGCTGCATGACTGACTTAATGAACCTATTACGTATTGACGACAACTTTAATGTGAAATTATTTTTGTAGCACGTTTGACTGTGGGATGTTCGTCATCAAATTCATGCAGCAACCTGATTTAAGCCCCGGTCCACACAAGGTACATTCTACCGCTTAATTTCCATTTGTCAATCAAATCCTTCCTCGTATGTCCTGCAATTTTAACTGATTTGTCTTATGATCTTTCTGTACAAAGTTCGCTCCCTTTGTGCATCATAATTTGTTGGTTGACATCGTTATGGATGTCAATAATGCAAAGATCACAGAGTACCGGGAGTGCCTTCATATGAGCAATGCCACAAGCTAGGCCAGTGATGGGAATGGGCTGCCAGTACGCCAGTAATTTGGGTGGCAATAGGACTTAATTAATTTTTTATTCTTTGATTTCAATATGGATGTTAATTATGGCTCCCCAGTATTGTTTTTGCTAGACGATGTAAATATGGACCAACTGCAAAGTGCAAGTCAAATGTAAACATGGATCAAACATGTCGATGTGGTTGCTGACTTAGTACTATTTTCTTTATGCATGTTTCTTGTTCGGATGAATGCGACTATATTTGTATATAATTTACGGCTGCTTTTGTTACCGAAGTTAATTTATAATTTAATTACAAGAAAGGGAAAATTAATTTTCAAAAATGAAAGAAACCTCATTATGAATGAAAACTCAATACTCTTCGTAGGTAAGTTATATATCACTGACTTAGTACTGTTTTGTTTACGCATGTTTCTTGTTCGGATGAATGCGACTGTAACTGTATATAATTTACGGCTGCTTTTGTTACCAAAGTTAATTTATAATTTAATTACAAGAAAGGGAAAATTAATTTTAAAAATGAAAGAAACCACATTATGAATGAAAACTCAATACTCTTCGTAGGTAAGTTATATATCAGCCCATTAGAACATATGACTCCAGCCAAAACAAAACTTTCATGGCTTACAGGGAAGGTTAAAAAAAAAAATAAATCAAATCTACGTATCTGCTGCATCATCAGCAGCATCTTCTGAAGAGTTGTCCGTACTGTCTGCTTGACTGTCCTCATCCATTGTCTTATCAGACTTCGCTTCGTTCGCCTCCTCATCCATTGTCTTATCAGACTTCGCTTCGTCCGCCACCAATTTGTTATCAGTCAGCCAATCAACGTTCTGCTTGATAGCGCCGACTTGCCGCTCCAAACTTGACAACCGTGTGTCCACTTCATTCAGCCTTTCGCAGATAGCTTGCAATTGCTGGAATACAGGAGCAACATGAGCTTCAACAATAGCTTCAATCTTGTTCGAATCGGACATTTTGTAGGAATATGTGTATGGTTTATTTTACTGACTACTTTTTTAAAGGAATGTACAGATTCATAATATTACACAACACTATGCTGTAAGTATTTGTAATATATGGTACATGACTTGTATGTTTGCAGAAGACCTCATGCATTGTGACATACATCGTATTAATTTCTCAAACTGGCCGAATTTATCTTGCAAAAATTCGTTCCTTCTTGCATGCACCAAGTCATCCGTTCAGTACCCCTGATCGTCCATTATTTGGCATTTCCAACACACATGCATTGTACCTTCCATCAGTACTATCCCACTGTCATTGATTTCCACAACCACAGTTCATCATACATTCACATTCGTCATTTGTATTTGTGCCCCAACCCAATTACATGTCTACTCATCCATAAAGGTTAGCAAAATTACTCTTATCAAATACATATGTCGTTCCAATTGCACCGAACCTATTAAATGAAATACCCGCAGTCATTAAGTTGCCTTTACGCAGTTTGGGTAGGTGTTGCCACCAAACAACAATAAGTGTGTTCACATTTTTAAACCTACCACCAACGTATTAATGACTACGAGTTTAAGGTAATTTAACATTTACAACCAACCACAAAAAAGTTTGCAACCAGTGTTGTTTCCTTTGCATTTGGGTTTGTTTTTGCATCCATATATTCTTCGTGAACCTGCGAAAACAAAGTTGGACTCAATCAAGAACCTTCACACCTATGGATGCACACCACGGTAAACGTGGTCGTGGACAATCACTTGCAACGGCTGCCAGCTCCCGACCGAAGTCACCAGAATTGGATTATGCAGGTGGGTATATCGATTCCTTCGGTGATCGACGTTTCTTTGAAACAGGGTTCCACTGTGGAGTTTTGAACCTCTACGGGATTACAACTGCACCCCAATACAAGATGCTTGCCTGGGGAAGTATTTTGGAATTCCAGTTTCACTGTTTGCCAAACGAGTTCAGTGTGAACACCACTGTCGATGTGCTTTTCTGAAGGTCACAAAAGCCCGATCGGTTGAAATGCAGCGGCAATTCCCTCATGTCAGCGACTCCCAACTTAGGCATCGTTTGCAAAGTGAGGTTGATCAAATGACTCGTCGACTCATTAGGAACTCACAGATAGAGGACGCAAAGGCAGAGTCGAAGATACATGGATCACCAAACAACAATAAGTGTGTTCACGTCTTTAAACCTACCACCAACGTATTAATGACTATGGGTTGAAGGTAATTTAACATTTACTACCAACCACAAAAAAGTTTGCAACCAGTGTTGTTTCCTTTGCATTTGGGTTTGTTTTTGCGTCCATATATTCTTCGTGAACCTGCGAAAACAAAGTTGGACTCAATCAAGAAGCTTCACACCTATGGATGCACACCACGGTAAACGTGGTCGTGGACAATCACTTGCAACGGCTGGCAGCTCCCGACCGAAGTCACCAGAATTGGATTATGCAGGTGGGTATATCGATTCCTTCGGTGATCGACGTTTCTTTGAAACAGGGTTTCATTGTGGAGTTTTGAACCTCTACGGGATTACAACTGCACCCCAATACAAGATGCTTGCCTGGGGAAGTATTTTGGAATTCCAGTTTCACTGTTTGCGAAACGAGTTCAGTGTGAACACCACTGTCGATGTGCTTTTCTGAAGGTCACAAAAGCCCGATTAGTTGAAATGCAACGGCAATTCCCTCATGTCAGCGACTCCTAACTTAGGCATCGTTTGCAAAGTGAGGTTGATCAAATGACTCGTCGACTCATTAGGAACTCACGGATAGAGGACGCAAAGGCAGAGTCGAAGATACATGGATCGAACCCGGCATCTGCGATAAAGGCTATAATGGAGGATCCTGCACTGGTGTCGGACCCTGACCTTTCAGATTACTCAGACTCCGAAGTTGTTGATTTGAGCGAGGATTAGCAGACCTGGACATGTGTATGACATAGTAAGCGTAGTCTTGTAAGATGGCATCGTCGCGCGAAAATAAATGACTTAGAAACTAACAGACCGTCATACTCTGCTAACCATTGCAACGGTGCATGCGTTAATGTCTTCATCATGTCCACTTTGTTGAAGGTATTTTTTTGGGTCACCGTCCTCGACTAAAAACTGTCTTATGATTTTTGTTGGTACTATGAGAAGGTAATTTTTTTGTAATGTCAATGACCGATATCATAAACTATCATTAACCTATGTTTTGTTGATTACTTCATGTTTGTGAATCGTTTAATATGGACAATAAGGTTTAAGTGTCAGAATCATTGACTGGAATCACAAGTTGTAATTGCAAACAAAAATTGTGCACAACCAGCCAACGGTCTCATACACTCTTAACATCAATATGGGCACAAAATGTTTTGTTTTTTCAAACACAACGTTTGTGTGGAAGCATACCCCATGGGGTCAACCTGTGCATTAGCAATTTTTCTCCCATTGTGCATTGTTATGAACTAATCAGCTTCCCTTCAAACAAAAAAATATACAATAGACCATGCAGAAACAGAGTATTGATATTCATTAATGAAGAAGTCAGCACGATGGTGAAGAAATGTACCACGCATTCTATATCTGCTTTCAACTTGCTAACAGATAATAGTTGAGGCCACAGATAAGTGACAAACAGATACTAGTTGACAGATAACAGATTTGCCAAATCTGTTAATTACAAACAAACCTGCAACACATAACAGAAGTTGTTCATTACAACCAAAATTGATGCACCCAGATAAGAGAACCTGCAACAGATAATAGGCCACAGATAAGTGACAATGCACCGACAAAATTCAGTCATCCACAAAGCATCCACAAAATTCATCCACATAGCATCCACAAAAATAAATCCACATACCATCTACAAAATTCGTCCACAGATCTGCCAAATAGCATCCACAAAGCTCTGACAATGACACCAACGTTTCCCAAAATTCACTACAGACTAACATTATAAGTTACATCATAATAACTTATAAAATTCATTCCGTACATTCATTCCATAATAAAATTCATTCTACAAAGCTATTAAGTAAGTTACATAAGTTACATCATAATAAAATCCATTCCATAAACATTACTTACATCATAAAGTATAATACAACAAAAACTGGTACAAACTTCCATTCAATTTCCCAAAATACAA